CGGCCCCTCCTCCCCCTCCACTTAATTTCACCGGGTCTCGTGAGCTCCTGCAAACAGATTCATGCTTTTCTGCCCGGTGCATTCAGGTCTCAGCTCCGCCGATCCCAGGGCAGCTCCTCAAGCTGTTGATGCTCTGCGTGGCTGTGGCAGAGAGGTGAGGTCGACGGGATGCAGGAGGGACCGAGCCCCAGGAACTCACACCTGCAGCAGCAGCCCTTGGATGGAGCTGCACACCCACATGTGAACGCACACGCACCCCATGCACACCCCGTGCTCCCTCCCTGGGCTCTCCAGCTCTTTCCAGCCCTGCTGATGCCGCTGTTTCCTCCCATCACAAGGGAAGCCCATGACCTTTTGTCTCCTCCCCGCCTGACATGAAACAATAATGTTTATTTGCCTTCCTCTATTTTTTTCCCATTAGCTCATCCAAATGTGTGAAGAGCCGTTTCAAGCTGCTCCTCCACCCCCCGACCTCTGCTCCATTCCCACCAGCTCAGCTCCGAGACAGAAGAGAAGGAAGGGAGAGGGCTCATTCCAAGCCAAACTCCATCCTGCAGCTCTGGGAAGATGGGCCCCAGTACAGCTGGTGGCAGCACGGGTGGCAATAGGTGGAGCAGCACTGATTTACACTGCTGTTCCTGTGCCAAAAGCCAGACCCCAGAGAAATTGGGTCCAGAGTGCTGCTGCTGCTGGGAAACTACAACCCCTGCCCTGATGTGCTGCTGCTCACAGCGGGGTGCAGATCAGAGGGACAGCCCAAGTCCAGCAATGAACGACAGTAAAGGCAAATCCCTCCCAGCAGGTCAGGAGGGAATGGATAAAGCTTTGCTTGGGAGCAAGCAGCAGAAAGGGGATGCCAGGGCCCCCAGCTGCTTGCTTTGAGCCACACCAGCTCCACTGCCTGCACAGCCCCATCCCGAGTGGCTGCTTTGGGAGGAGATGAGGTGGGAGGAGGAGATGGCAGCCCCAGGCTCCCGAAAAAAAATGCAGGATGCATTAGAACAAGCAGAGCTGCCTGATTGATTCTTCAGGCTGAGACGTGGGCTGGAAGTGCCAGGAGAAAATGGATCCTCTGAATATTTGATGAACAGAGGCTCAAGGAGGGAGTTTGATTGGAAAATTACAGATCTTTCAAACAATGGTTCAAGTGCCCTCCAAACGCTTGGGTTTCCAGCTCCCTTCCAGCTAGAGGAGCAAGGCTCCACGAGGAAACACCCACACGATTTATGAATGAAGCAGAGCTCCCCACACCTGGCAGCACTCAACCCACTGAGGCCGGCAGCCCAGCAGCTCCAGCACCAGCCCAGGGACGTGGAATTCAGGTCCTGCCATCACTGGGGTCACTGTGGCTGCATCCTTGGTCCTACAAGGCACCACGCTGCCATGAACACCACGGCACACGAGGCTCTGTGGAGTACATGGGGACGTGGTTCACGTGCAGAATCCTGCCTGGACACTGAGCCTACAGCTCTGCTCCTGTTCCCAGCCTCCATCCAGCTCCTCTGCACCAGGAAACACCTGCTAAAGCACAGCCAGCATTGCTCCCCACCCCGACAGCAGCTCCAGGGCTGCTGAGGACTCATCCTCATCCCCTGAGACCGGCTTCTGTCTGGGGCCTGAGGGGTTTGCTGCCTCACAGACGGGTGCAAGCAGTAAATACAGACTCAGCTCAGGCTTCCTGAACCCGCCTCTGCCTCCAGCCCTGAGCTTTCCGCCCTCCATCAGCCCCCATCCCTCGTGCACGTCCTTTCCCTTTCCCCTGCATGGGGGCAAGTGGCTATTTCTGGCCAGGAACAAGGAATGCCAGCAGCAGTTTCCCAAGGAAACCCACTCTTGTTTCAGTTCCTTCCCCAGCTCATGCACTCCTGGGCTGAACTCTGAGCCCCTGCTCCCCAGGTGCCATTGTGTGGCTGTCTGCAGCCAGGCTTTATGGCTTCCTCCAGGACGTTGGGAACAGGGCTTCACTGGGTCTTGCATCTCAATGGAGGAGCATGGAGGGGAGTGTAGGACGCTGAGTCCCACCCCAAAGGAGTGCCCAGGTTACCCTAAGAGCAGAAATAGCCCTTCTTCCCCTCTGTGAGGCTCCTGTTCAGAGCTGGAGTGATGGAGAGGGCAGAACAGGAGAGCAGCTGGCTCCCAAGGAGAGCAGAAACAGCAAGGTGCAAAGATATCAGCAGGAGCTGTCAGCAGCCAGAAGTGGAGATGCTAAACCTCCAGCTTACTCAACAGCATCACTAGCAGGAGGAGCAGAAGACACAAGAGCAGCCCTGATGGGACCAGCAGAGCCTTTTGTAAGAGCCACAAGCTTTTAGCCAAACCTCCTTTGGCAGCAGCAGCTCCTGGTGTCCAGCACCCTCCTCCAGCTGCTGCCAAAGCCAGGGGAAAGCAGGAGCCAACCCCAGGAACAACACTTCCCAGCACACATCAACAACCACAGAGCCAGGCCTGTGCCTGGGCAGCCTTTGGCCATGGGGCTCCACTGATCCCAGGACTTTCCTAAGCTCCCATCCCAATGACAAGGGTGTGAATTTGGCAGAGCAAACCAGACCCTTGGTGAAACCCTGTGCAGGAACACTGGGGCTGCAGGTCTGTCAATTCACCCAGGGAAAACACGTCAGCATTTCAACCACCACCAACTTTTGCACGTGTATTCCAGCCCAAGATCTCAAGATTCATCTCCATAAGAGCCAAAACCTGAATGACCAGAAGGGGCTGCACCAAAGCTGCCCAAACAGAAACTGTGCATGCACTGGCTCTGTTTTGCTGCTCAGCCCCACACGCTCACCTTCAGGGCACATTTCCCCAGCAGGGTCTGTAGTCACCAAAAGGAACAATCTGGTATTTCCAGCACACAAACAAAAGCCCCAGCACAGCTCTGAAGGGGACTGAAGGGGACTCCTTGTCCCCTGCTGACAACCAGCCAGTAGGGTCGATCCTACAGCCTCCAGTGACAGAGGGGCTCAGCACAGAGGAGCAGAGCTGTCACCTATGCTGTCACCAGGCTGGGAGCTGACCCCCACCCCATTTCCACCCCCCAGGTCCCTATCTGAGCATAGTAAACCAGAGCCCAGCCTTGACAGGAGGAAACAAGCACCCCAAGCCCTCCAACACCCCTATGGGGCTCCCCCAAACTGGGGCTAAATGGCAGATGGTCTGAGCCTGTTGAGTACTCAGTGCTTCGTTAGCAGGCAGCTGGTTAATCAGGGCGAGGTGCCCACGAGGAGCAGACAGTCACTGACCCCTGGGTTGGGCTGGATGGGTTCCCCTGGAAAGACCTCAGTGCCAAACCCAGGAGATGCTGGAGAGAAGCAAAGGGAAGCAAAGGGCTGCAGAGCCCCGTCCTCAGCTCCGATCCTGCAGGTTCCAACCGTGCAGGGCAGGGCCCCACAGCAGCACACAAAGAAGGTCAGGGAGCATTCCTCAGCTCCCGAGGGTCTCCTCCCCAGCACGATGAGGGTTGCAACCCCCCCCCCCCCCGCTCCAAGCCGGGCCCTTCGGCACCGCGTTCAGAGGGAGGGGTCCGCGGGCTCCCAGCCACCCACTCGCCCCCAGCTCTACGTGCAGCAGCAACAACAGGTTCAAAACAGAAAAATAAACGCCCTTCCCACCCCATCCCCCCTTCTTCCCCCCCCCCCCCCCCCACCCCCTCCCGCACCGCGGTCGGCAGACGCTCGAGCCCCGCAGCTCTCCTACCCGCTCGGGGCCTCCATCCACGCACCACGGGTGGTCGCTTCGGCGCCCCGCAGTAGGGCAGGAACCGAGGAGGGTTGGGGGGGCGGGGGGGGCTCTATGAGCTCTATGGGGGTCTGAGCAATCGCCATCGGGGGTTCCGCAGCCCCTCAGTGCGGGTTCCAAGCCCGCTGTGCGGGGACGCGCCGTGATTGAGGGCCCCGACCCGCAGCATGGGGGGATGCGAGCCGCACGAGTGGGGTGCGGGACCCCCGCGCCGAGGGGCGATGCGAATCGATGCGAGCGACTTCTCGACCCTCCGTCAACGGGTCCCTGCAGCCCAACCGGGGGGGTTCCGAACCTCGGCACCCGAGGGCCGCCCCCACCTCGGCACTGCGGTGCGCAGCACGGGGAGCCCCGAGGCCCGGTGCGGGGGTCCCGCGGGGAACGGCTTCGGTACTCACTCCATTTTCCAGGCTGATTCCGCTGGGTCGTGCCTGGGCGAGGCGTGGCGGAGCGTGGCCGGCAGCCGCCGGCGTCCCGGCGCTCAGGGCCCGGCGGGCGGCGGCATCCCCGGCGGGGCTGCGGGATGCGCAGGGATGTCGGGGCCGCGCCGGTGCTCCCGCCTCCCGCACAGCTCCGTCTGCCGGGCGCGGTCCGCCACTGCCACCGCCCCTCACCCGGCCTCGGGGCGCGGCGCTCTCCGCCCGTCGCTTCTCGTTGCCGCCGCCGCTCCCGGGCGGCCCCGAGGATGCTTATAGGGGTGCGGGGGTCCCGATCGGGGGGAGCGTAATGGAGGGGTCGCGGGTGCTGCCCGAACCACCCCCCCCCCCGGGGATGGAGGGCGGAGGCAGGAGGGGTGCCGAAGGCTTTGCTCCCGACACGCGTCCCCGAAGCCATGAGGGTGCCAAAGGCACTCCTCCCTCCCCCCAGCAGAGGGATGCCTGGATTATTTGCTCCCCTGTCGGCTCCTCCATTTCCTGATGACGGTTGCATTGGGTAAACTGGCAAACTGACACAGGAAGCCCAGGGTAAGTCGCAAACCAAGGTGGCATTAAGAAATCTGCCCACCATTGGCACGAGAGCTCCTTAAATCCAGCTCTGCAGCAGGGGCAGCCCGGCTCTCTGACCCCCATCCCTTCAAGCTGGTACCCATGGGAATGCAGAGCAGGGGCAGCAGCTGACGGGGGATGAAAGGCAACACAGCAGGCAGCACCAGGCCACCGTCAGCCCTGGGGACATCCTGGGAGGTGTCCCTGGGCCACGGCAGGGCTCTGTTCTCACTTGCACCCTCTGTGCCATGGGAGATTTCATCCCAGTTAGCTCGAGGCGTAAAAGCAACCAGGCACAGGCTGGGAAGCTGCTCTGCTTTCTCTCTTCCTTCTTTCCCAGCAAGCAACGTCTCCTCCACCCAAGGGAAAGCTACCGGGCAGTGCCACAGGCCAAGCTGCCCCCACAGATCTGTGGCAGCAAAACCAAACCCCCCATCACCCCTTAGGATTGCGTATCTCCATCCAAAGTGATTGCACAAGGCAGCAATACTGAGAGGAGGAAGCAGGGGGTACCCGCCGGTGCCCATACAGCGGCTGTGCCCACAGCACCACCCTGCAGGGTTATTTAACCCCCCCCCCAGCCTCAGGTGGCCTCACAGGAGGTGGTGGTGGCCCACGCTGCATCAGCATGCTCTCTGCTCTGCTCATCCTCAGCCTGGGGGTCTCTGCGCTGGGTCCAACAGGTGATGGGAAGGCAGCAGTTGGGAGGGTTGGGAGCGATGCTGAGGACTTTGTGCTCACAGGCAGTGCTGGGTGTCCGAACCCCCCCTGGTTGGTGACCTCCTGCACCCACCAGGTGCTCACAGCAGTTGGGTCATCGGGGGAAAGGCAGTGGTGCCACACTCGCGGCCCTTCATCGCCTCCATCCAGATGGACGGGCAGCACTTCTGTGGGGGCTTCCTGGTGTGGCCCAGGTGGGTGATGACAGCCGCCCACTGCCCCGTTCCCAGGTGAGCAGTTTCCCCCGGGTCCCATTCACGTGGATATCCTCACCCTGGAGCAAAACCGCGTTGCTCAGCTCTCTCCCCAAGCTCCTCGTCCCCTCTCCCTCTGCGAGGTCTCCCATCCCTCCTCACAGCTCCCCCGTAGGCGCAACCCCTCCGTCCGCGTGGTGCTGGGAGCACACAGCCTGGAGCAGCCCGAAGAGTCCCAGCAGGAGTTCAGCGTCGAGGAATCCATCGCGCATCCCCTCTACGACCCTCGGACGGTGGACAACGACATCCGACTGCTCAAGGTGAGCTCCGCGCCCTGTGCCACGGGCTGGGCTGGGGACCGACACTAGGTGTCAGTGTACTCCGGAGAAGCGCTGCACCCGGGATGGATGATGCCCGCACTCCGGGCACCCCCGGCCTCCGGTGCGCGCTGGTTCCATTTGGAAGGGCCGGGACGTGGGAGCACGCTGGGAGCTCAGTGGGGCAGTGGGAACCGAGCCCGGGAGTAGCGGGGAGGGGCTCTTCCTTGGGGTCTGTGTGGAAGAGGAAGGGAGCCGTGCCCCCCACTCCGTGCCCAGCTGAACCACATGGCCACGCTGAACGCATTTGTGAAGCGCATCCGCCTGCCCCGGCCACACATCGACCTGAAACCAGGCACCCTCTGCTCCGTGGTGGGTTGGGGGGACATCTCCAACTACGGCGAGCGGCCCATCCAGCTGATGGAAGCCAACACCACCATCATCAAGAGGAGCCTGTGTCGGACCCTATGGAAGGGCCGTGTCTCAGGCAACATGCTGTGCGGGGCCAGCCACAATGCCACACTGCAGGGCGTCTGTGCGGTGAGTGCCACGCAGACACCCCAACCCTCCCAGCCTTCCTGGCCCATAAGGCTGCTATTAATCCACTCCCCATCACAGGGTGATTCTGGGGGACCCCTGGTCTTCAAAGGGAAGGTTTATGGTGTCGTCTCGTTCTCCGGGGAGAGATGTGGGGACCGCCGGTACCCCGACATTTTCACCAGGATCTCCAACTACATCGACTGGGTGCATCAAGTTGTGCTCAGCCATCGCCAGCCCCAAGGGCAGAAGAAGCACAAACCGGGCCCAGAGGAGGCAGGGAGGACCAAGGAGCAGCGGGGTGGGAAAGGCCAGGCCTCCCACAACCCTCTCCGACTCCAAGGGCTTTAATGTTCAATGGGAACTGACACCAGGGCTCATCACTCCTGCCTCAGTTTCCCTACGTGCTCCAAGGCAATGCAGGAGGCTGATGGTAGCGAGGAGCTCAGCATCCCCCCGGCTGCACAGAGAACCCCAGTGCCTCACTTCCCCCCTTGCTGCATCACCATTTTGCTCCCTAAATAAAACCTCATTCCCATACCTCTGTCTGTTTGCTCTCTCTTTACCCATCTCACTTCCACCTCTGATGGGGCCCCAGCCCAGCTCTGGTGTAGGAGAAAACCCCACAGACCCTCTCCCCCTCTCCACCCCAGCATAACCTCACCTTGATCCTGCCACAGTCTGCAGGAACCCTGCAGGGACAGACTGAGGGACAGCCTCATCTACTCACAGCCTGCAGAACCCAACTCCACCTCCCTGCCCCCTTTAATCCCACCTTGGGTGGCTGACCTCAGAAGGGCTGTTTGGGGCCACCCCTCATCCTGCCCTGACAAAGGCAGCTGCTGCCCACCTCCTACCTTTTCCAGCTGTCCCTTCTCCTGTCCTGCCCCTGCTGTTGGCACTGGGAGGATGAACAGTGCCCTCTTGGGATCATGGGCTTGGTGCTACCCCACAGCCCAGCTTGCCTCATGGGGTTCCATGAATGGAAATGCAGGGAGGAGAGCAGGAGCAGACCCTGCTCAGGACCAGGCACTACTGTGAGCCAGGATCTGCACACAGGCACTGCCACCCATGGAGCATCTCAGCATCCCTCTGACTGGGGCAAACTCCTTATCCCGCCCCATCCCACACCACCCCTTCCCCATCACACCACAGGATCTCCATGTTATGTGAACAGCCACATCCCAAAGCCATCAGCTCCCAGCATACCTGCTCCCACCCGTACAGGCAGATGGGTTTGGGATGCTGCTGTAAGGCTCTGACTTTGCACTCCTCCCCGGGGATGGGGCCAAGCACTGACCCCGGGGACCCAGGAACGTGTGTGAGCAGCAGCGTGACCTCTGCCAACACGCAGCACAGGGCTCTCTCCCAGCTCTGCAGCCACCCCTGGGGACAGTTCAGCCGTTCCCTGCTCCCAGCTGTTTGTTTTATCTGCCAATTGCTGGCACTCTGGCACAGGGCATCCGTCAGACAGCGGTGGAGGGCACAAATAGCAGAGCATGGCCAGCACTCCAAGATCAGCCTGCAGCCCTCATGGTCTCTGCAGCAGGAAGCCCAGCAGAGGCCTTGGGGATGCTCAGCAGAGGATGGATGTTACCAGGCTGCCAGACACAGGGGAACCTCAGATCCCTGTGGGTCCCCTGGGAGGATGCTGCCAGAGCAGGGCTGCCAGCCCCAGGGTGTGCACGATGCTGCTGCGTTTGTCCCAGCTCACCCCAGACCACCCAAACACTGGGGCAAGGAGATGACTGACTCACAGAGCCGTTCTGGAAGCTGAAATCTCTTGCTCACTGGTATTGCTGATGTCATTGCTGCAGCCCATGCCTGCTGCACGGCGTGGGTCAGCACCAGAGCCATGAGGTCAGTACCTTGGAGCTGTGAGATGCAGTCACTCCAGCTGCTGCAGGCCTGGGCTGCAGAGCCCCATTGAGCACCACGGCTGCTCCCCAACACCCATCCCACAAGCAGGGGCACGGCGCAGCCGTGCTGTCCCTCATCCCCACATACGAGGACACAGCTGGGGACACAGCAGCACTGCCCTGGGAGCCACCAAAGGCACGCTGCAGGCTGCAGCCCAGCTCCCGCGCCTCCGCTTTGCACATCAGGACTCAATTAATGGCAGGAATTGTTTTGTGAAATACCAAACCCTTACGGCGCACACTGATATTAGGAACACATTTGATTTGCATTGCTCTTTTTTTTTGCTTCTCTCTCCCCTTTCCTTTCTCGCTGCTGCTGCTCACAGACTTGGCTGGGGTGGAAAAACCACGACACAAAGCTGAAACAGATGTGGTGGTGGCCCGGGCGGGTGCAGCCACAGAGCAGGAGCTGAGCTGAGGCTTCACCTGCTACCCTACCAGGCTGAGGCTGCTCCAATTGAGGTTACAGACCCAATTTATTGCAGATCCCTCCAGCCAGCTTCCATTGCAGGTAACAGAGGGGAAAGCGCTCCTCCAATGCGGGGCTGCAGCAGCCTGCAGGGCCACGGAGCAGCGCAACAAAAGCAGAACCACAGCAGCTTTTATTCTTTTTTAATCGTAATCAGTCGTAAAATGCTCCTAAATGATACGGAATAGGAAATGTATACGTTCCTATAATGCCTGCCTCAGCAATCAGAACACAATCATACAAAAATAGAAAATAGGGTATTTATATATATTATATATACGGTATTTATATAAAGGCGAGGTGTCAGAGATGAGATGGTATGTACACAGATCACAACGCACGCACAAAAACAAGAGAGAGAGGAAGTTAAAATAAATACAGAGGGTGTTGAGAGGGAGTGGGGATGCGGGGCTGGGTGTCCCAGCAGCCCTGCAGCCCTTTGCCTTCCACGTGGGTTTGGTCACGGATGGGTGAAGGAGGACAAGCAGCAGCAGTGCTGGGAGCGGGGACTGGAGCACCTCGGGGCGGCTCCAGTATTGCCTCCAGAAGAGCTGGAAGCCGGGTCTTGGTGGGCTGGGGAGAACCTAAATGCAATCAGTTGCTATAAACCGCAGGAGAATAAACGACATAGAAAAATAGAGATCTATCCATCTCAAACGTGGCGCGGCTCCGCGCTCCGTTCCGTGCTGCTGGCAGCTGGGGCTGAGCCCCTCCGGGGAAAGATAAAGAGCAGATTCCTACTCGACCCCGAGGTCCTGGCCAGAAACGTCAGCAGAGTACCAAGAATTCAATCCAAAAATAAATAGGCCCGGGGCGGCCGTCCAAGGACACGTTATGGGGGGGTGCGGCAGTGCAGGCGCTCCCCTGATGCCCGGAGCAGCACAGGGGATGTGAGCAGGCACGGCCAGGAGCCGTCCCTCTGCATCTGCGTAGCATACAGATATAAATAAGGACCTTTTAATCTTAATAAATATCAGGTATATGCTTTGTACAGTATACACATAATGCCCCTGTCTGCCGGCCGCAGCCTCGCGGCGCGGGAAGGATTCACACGTAGTTCTCCTCCGCGTTATCCGTCTCCAGGGAGAACCTGGCCGAGGCTGGAAGGGAGGGGAGAAAAGAAGAAAAGGAATGAGGGGATATAAAAAAAGGGTACGGATGTGCAAAGCCCCACCGATGGCCGAGCTCCTGGTCCCGCTCACCTGAGCAGCTCCCGTAGTGCCGCACGCCGATGGAGCGCCCCAGGTGGCACGTGGCCCTGCGCAGGTGGCACGCCGACGGGTAGGTGATGTTGTTGTTGCCACAGAGAGCGTGGTCCAGGCTGGTGGGTTCTGGACACGGAGCCGTCCGACACATCACACAGTGAGCGCTGCCCGTTTGGTCCACCACGCAAGTGTGGGTGCCTGGACACACCACGCTGGAACAGGATTCTAAAGGGAAGCACGTGAGTCTGAGGCTCAGCATCTCAGGAAGAGCGAGTTGTGAAGTTCACCATCCCACTCCCACGGTCACTGCACCCAGGAAGCAAGGAGGAAGCGGGAATCGTGCATGCAACAGAGAGCTGACATCCTCACTGCAGTGCCCAAGCTACCAACACCTGGCCTTTAAAGAAGGAGCGGGGTGGATCAGGACCTGGGAAGGGCTCTGAGCCCCATAGGAGAGCAGGGAGCTCATGCACCCCGTCCTGTGGGCTCTGCACTCCAGCAGCCCTGGTGCACAGCAGACCCGCCGTACTCCCCGGATGCTGTAAACACGGCTCGAAGCCTTCCCTTCTCCTCCCTCTATTTTCCTGCTGGATTGGAAGGAGACTTGGCATCTGCAACTCCCAGCTTGCAACTCACATTTCTTGCCCCAAATTTTACTGTGCAGTCCAGAGCTTGACAGGCAAAGCATTTCAGAGAGGAGGGCTGGCGAAAATAATCATAATAATTCTGACAGTTCTTGGCAGGGCAGAGGAGGATTACTGCTCTCTTTAACAAAACAACAAAAAAGGGGCTCGATGTTTGGAAGTGACATTTTACGGATTGCTATTCCCCAGCTGCAGCGAAGCTGAATCCCCCATCATATTGATGAGCTGCTCCAGCATCCCAGGCAGCCCCTTGGCCGCCCAGTTTGAGCTGCCACAGTGCCAGCTCTGCTGCTCCACCCTGCAGTGAGGGCGACACAGGGCCAGAGAGCTCAGCCATGAGTTAACCCCAGGCAGGGAGATGCAGGTGGGGGCTGCGCTTGGCCCCTGTGCAGAGCAAACCCAGCCTGCAGATCTGTTCCCATGGGAGAGGAGCAAGCTGCAAAGGCAGCTCTGTCTGCACAGGGCAGGACCAGCTCCCCGATGGCTAGGCTAACAGAGAGATCTGGCTGTGCAGGGCAGGAGAGGTGGGGACGGTGACCTGACGTGCTGGCACAACATGACAGAGCAGCGCAGCTTCTCATCATCGCTGCCAAGCTGTGTAATTTGGGGAGCTCGTCGCTGTTCATCCCTTTTTCCCTCCTGGACGCAGCTTGGAAGCAGCGAGAGCCACGGGGCAGGGGATGGGAGCAAAGCAGGGACGCGGCAGAACCTACTTTTGCATTTGCCCTGGTACATCACTTCCAGGTCGGGGTGGTCTCTGCACTTGGCCGTCAGCAGGTCGCACTCATCACGGTAGGTGTAGCCATCAGAGCCGCAGACCTGCAGCTTGCGGGGCAGGCTGGAGCAATCGGGGGCGCAGGCACACTGGGGCCTGCCGTGCTTCATCTTGCACACCTTGTCGGGGCCGCACACCACCCCCTCACAGCTCTCTGGGGACAGAAGGGAGCACAAGAGCGTGACTCACAGCGGCACCCATGGAGAGATACCTGGAGCTGCCCCTGGGCCCCAGCAGCACGAAGCGCTGCTCGCAGCAGCATCTGGATCTGCTCAGCACTGTGGAGGAGCAGGTCGTTGGCTGCAGCGCAGAGCCATCATCCAACACTTAACCCAGCCAGAGAGCTGGCCCTCAGATCAGCACCAGCTAATTCATTTCTACGGATTTATTTTTTTGGAAGGAAACATTTC